TTTTGGCTTCCTTTTCCTTTCCAGCAAACAGTTTTCTTCTCTTTCCCTATCTCCTTCGTCATTAGATGCAACAGCTCACTATACTCCCAGTCCTTGCCTGGTATTTCGCCTACTTCTTCCTCGACTCTTGCGGCTATATTTATTATTTGTTTGTCATTTAAATACGAGCTGTCAGACTTTGATTCCATGCTCATATTTTCAGTTTCGTATCCCATTTGTAATGTTATTCGTTTATGATCACTACCCAAGCTGTTAATGCCTTCCTCGTCTATCCTCATTTCTGTCAGTTTGTGGTAAATTCCTTCAGTCATGAGACAATAATCAATACTTGATTGCTTGTTTCCGACTTCCCATGTGATCTGGCCGTCACATTTAGGCCCCGTGTTAACTATCTCCAGACTATGTTGCTCGCAAAGATCTAGTAATAACTTCCCATTGGTGTCTGAATATCCGTCAAGGTCATGTATGTGGGCATTCATGTCCCCTAGAAGGATGATTTCGGCCCCATTACCAAATTCCTTAATATCCGCACTCATGCAATCCACTATCTCCTGATTCTTTTCTCTGCAGTTATTCCCCGTCCACAAGTAGGCTACCCCTAGCCACGTTTCCTTTCCACCTACTGTGCCCAGAACCCAGAGGTGCTCTGAACACGTCTGTTTCACTCTAACCCATTTGGCTCCGCGGTGAATTAGCATTCCTACACCCCCACCTTTCCTTTCCGATATGGTCCTGTTACACCCTTCCCAAACATAATTTTTAATATGTGGTGGCTCTTCCAAGTCTCTAAGGTGTGTTTCTGTAACCGCATACACGCCTATCTGTTCTTTGTTTAACTGCTCCTCAATCTCTAACCATTTTGCCTTCTTTCTGCCACCCTGCATGTTTATGTAACTAATTGCAACACGCGCCTTTTTCCTTTTTCTTTTACCTTTTTTCTGGTTTTTCGCAATTCTACCTGTCAAAGCGTCCTCCTGGTTGTTTTCCCTGTTACGAGCTACCCCGGACTCCGAAGGGCCCGTGAGCCCCCCAAAAAAGCTACTGCGCGTCCTGCCAGTCGCCAGCCCACCTCGTGTCCAAGCCTCTTATCGAAATGAATCTTGTCTCTTTGGAATCCACCCCACCTGTGCACTTCCCTGTTTAAATCCACTACCGCTGGCACACGTCCAAACGTGTGCCAGCGCCATCTGGCGGTTTCCTCCCAAGGCGTTAAGCGCTAGCCGGCCCGTTCATCACACTTTCCTATTCTAGCCACTGTACCGCGGCTGACGTTTGTGTCAGCGGCCATCTTCTCCCGAGAGGAGCTCCACTTTCCCCCTCCACCGGACTACCCAATCGTCGTGCGATGTCTTCGAGGCGTGGGCCGGGTGCATCATTGTGTGGTGCGCTCGTGCACTCCACCAATTGGACATTTTCGCCCGTGTTCCTCACTAGCCGAGCTGTCCAATATCTGCATCCTTTCTCGTGGGTGAAACACTAACCCCCGTATTCAGAAACGCTGCTTTACTTGATATTGACTTGCCACTGACATCGGCTATGTGGACGATGGAGAGGAGCCATCCACCGTGGAGCCAGCTACCGTGATGACGGAAGTGCTTACAAATGTCTCTCGTTCCGCAAAGAAACAATTACTCGAAGGAATTAAGCAAAAACAACAGGAAATATTGAAGACATCGTGAAGGGGCCGTGAAAGCCATTTTCATACTTGGCGCTATGACGACGCTGCTGCCACCGCCGCTCTTTTTTTTTTTTTTTTTCATGTAGGCTCTTTGTTAAACCATGGTTAAACCTCACACTACTGTTACATTCCTCCGACCGTCCATTGTTCTCTGCTTGTACTAAACAAAGAAGTTATGCTAGACCCTTTCTCGAATTTCTGTACACACAAGGCATGTCCAGGCGGGCCCGGCGGGGGTTCAGGCAACAGCGGAAGCGCCAACGACACCATTATCAACGAGTTGCCTGTGGAGCTGTGGTAGCTCACTTTAGCTGTGGTTGTCTGTTGATGCTCTGCTCAGCAGAACATCAACGAATGGTAGTGTATAGGTGTTCTGTGGCTAAAGTATTCAAGTTATTTTGGTTGCGTGTCGCGTACTGAACTGTGCTCACAATGAACACCGTAACACCTTCAGGTAGAAGGCAGCGCAAAATACGGCGGCGAAATATAATGAAAAGCACCGTTTAGTTGTGTTTTCATACCTTGGTCCGTGTGAAAGCCCATTCCGAAGTGGCATCCTTCGAAAGTGAACCCAGTGAAAGTGCGCGCTCGTGTCGCGCCCCGCGGCGTCGTTTGTTTGACGTTGTAGTAGCTGCTATCTCCGAGACTACTGAGCGCTGCACGGGAATCCGAAAATTCACCGAGGGGCCCACTATGCAGCGCGCAACACGTCCTCTGTCTCACCGAATGGTATAATCTTGAAACATATGCACTGTCCACACCCTGCGGCCTGTAATTTTAGAGGTTAGATTTTCCATGGAGAGTACACCGAGAAATTCCCAGGTGAGAGCTCATTTGACGCGCCAAATCCGTTGGTTGCAGCGCCTTGATACCCGTCTCGCAACCTACTACATTGCTTTGCGCAGAACTTCGCTGAAAAGTGAATTACCAGGGCCCATTTGAAGCCGGTCGAGCACTGGCCGACTACAGTTAAAACTCGATCTAACGAAACCTGATTTCACGAAGTACCGCATATAACAAAGCACTTTCGTGCCATGTTCCTCGAGTTGGCTTAGCCGAGATTGGGAGGTTGTGTAGAATAAACATAGTCCAAATTCGAAAGAGGAACAGGAAATGGTGTAGCTAATGTAGCTGTTTTCATATTGCCGCCAATGAATGTACTGGATGAATTTTGCAGAAGTAATCATTGCAGCGCATAGATGTCTAAAGCAGTACTGTGTCAATCTAATATTACGTTCTTGGTGTATTTCTGTAAATGCTCATGTGCATATTCACGCCTCTTTGGCTTTTAACAGGGACAAAAGCAGCGACGGGATACACTACAGCCCATGTCGGCTTCGCACATTCCTTACTGCTCAAGGAAATTGTTACACTTGCTTTTAATACTCATTAAAGCATACAAGTTTCTTACTACATGAAAGTCTATGCGTGGAAAGTTCGCCGAAAACCAGTGAGCAAGAAGCCCTGCATCTTGGTGGCACCATGATCTAGTTGTCTGCCCACATGTTGGTCAGTAACCTTAACTTGTTGCGTGTAATTAACCATGACAGAAGCTGGCTATCACCTGTCACAGCAGCATACAGGAAGGAGTATACATTTATTTTACTTTTCTTACGGAGTATCGTATATCGCAATCAACAGGATCAGGATTGCAGTGAAGTCTCATACCTAGAACTTTGGGTGCTGCAAATGACAAAATGAGCCCATGTTTTTTTTTCCACAAAACTGAAGACTTTGCTGCACATATAGTCAATATATTATGCTTGTATAGTCTAGCCTAATTCCTGGCCTGCTTGCTTCAGGCATGCACCATTATCATGGTGCATGTATAAACTATTTTGTTTTCTTTGTCGCACACGTGCAAATCCACAGGAAAGTTATTTTTCAGGAACATGTAATGCCCAATTGTAACTTGGGAGGCACTGGGTTCGGGCTAGTTGCTGATCTATAACTTATGTAAGCACCAGAGGCACATATGTAAGACAAGCGAAGGACACAGGACAAGTGCTTGTCCTGTGTCCTTCGCTCGTCTTACGTGCGTGCCTTTAGCACTTACATAAGTTATGATCCAATTAAGTGCAGTTCTTCTGCTCATACTCTCGACGGTCTACTGGTGGTTATGGCGCACAGCTGGTGACCCAAAGGTCATGGAATTGAATCCTGGCTGCAGCAGCGGGATTGCGATAGAGGCTAAATGCTGGAGGACTGCGTACATTAGGCGTGCGTTGCAGAACACCAGGCGGTCAAAATTTTTGGAGCCCTCCACTGCGGCATCCCTCATTATCATATTGTGGCTCTAAGAAATAAAACCTCGGCGGTTACTAGAGCGTTAAGAGGCGAGGTTAGCTGTGTGTTAATGATAACAAGTAGTGATCATCATAACCTGGCACACATCTTTGCCCTCTCCTTCACTGCCTTCCTCTTCTGCTCTGCTACTAGCAGGACATGCTCCAGTTTGTCTGGCGAACGATGCAATGACTTTGTGGGCAAGGAACGAGTACATGACAGGGAGTGAGAGAATTTCTCGGTCGGGAGGGAAGGGCGAGTTTGAACAAAATGTCATCTAACATTGCTGTTAAGAGGAAGACATTTCCCCTATGTCGCATATAGGTCACATCGGAAGGGAACTTGACAGCATATTTTGAAAAAGATACCAACGTTCTGACATAGGGCAGGATTCTGACGTACGAAGGTTTTCTCCCATAGTTATGTTTTAACACAATGTGACCGCATGGGGTGTCTCACGAAAAGAATTCTTGGGACCAGACGCATCTGCATAGCCTGTGAACATAGCTACGAAGACAATAAAAAAAAAAGGATTATACGATAATCATGTGAAGACCGCAGGCCACCAGTAGGGGTACGCATGTTTGAGATCCTTGTTTTGGGTAGTTGTGTCAAACCTTAGATGTCAATCTGTAGTGTTTACGTTTGCCAAGAAAATTGTACTCATGGTTCAAGCGAAAACCAGCTAGCACAACTGTCCTTCTAAGGTGATGGTTGTTCTGTGTGTAGAGCTAACATTTTTTTAAAATTAAAATATAACTGTGCATAGTGCACTTTTCATCATGCCTATTTACCCCCCCTTTTTTTTTTCAACATTAATGCCCTGTACAGTGGGACATATAAAATATGTTTAGAATAGTCTCGCCATTGATATGGCCTTGTAAATATACATTTGTAACGAATATTGCGATATCACAAAGCCATTTTCGAATCAGATGTGACTGTGTTACAATAAGTTTTCACTGCACAAGGCCTCCTGTTGACCTCACCCTGACTTTCGGGTATTCTATGTCTTACAGGTTCTGCCGACCATGGCTGTCTTCTCACACATATTTTTGAAACAACAGCCCCAAGCATTGCCAAAGCTCGTCACTGTTCATGACGACCAATTGTGTGTGTCAGGAGGTCCCGTGAATATGTGAACTGCGCTCATTTTGTGATCATGGCCTCTGACCAGCATGTTGCTGTACACTCTGCAGACATGGCTATTGCTAGCAGCGGTCTTTCCAAAGAATTAAGTTTATGTCGCTCTGGCTTCTTATCGTCACTGAGGAGTTCCCTTGATTTGATTCCCTTTTGGCTGTTTATCATACTCGCTTTTCTTTATTCTGTTATTCTGTGCTAGTGTGTTTATTTTTGTCTTTGGGATTTTTCATTGTCCATTTCATGGCTATGAGACCATCTTAATTTTCAGCTATAGGCATCTTGAATTGATGTTTCACTGTTTTCTTTTGCCACCCACGTAAACTGTGGGCAGTTGCTCTTCTCATCATATTTACTGATTAATAAACCTGGGAGCAATGTGGTGAAGTCAGACTTGGCAACTGTAGGTACACGCCACAAACGATTCATTCATGTGTGTATCTGTAATAAGCTCGGTGTGATGCACCGCATGTGCCTCAAGTCTGGGAATGAAAACATGCGAATGGATCTAGGGGTTATTATGAAACCAACAAACAGTGAAGCCACGGAAATCATTTGTTTTTAGCTGTAGTGTACAAAAATGTTTAAAGTCGATGAAACATTCAAGCTATTCTTCAGATTCCCCATGTTTTCGTAGTTTAATTAATTCTTAAAGCAAACGATACTGTCCACTATGTTTCCGTCGGCTTTATTGTTTATTGGCTACATTAAGTCTGTGAATGGCTATTTTGAGAAAGTCGTTCAACCACAGCTTTGTAAGTTTTGTTTCTCATATTATTTGTGTAAATTTATTCCAGTTTTGTTTTACAAAGTTTATTTGGGTTTTTGTTTCGTTTAGCTAATGTTTACTGCTCCGCACAAATTTTGACTGTGTGCAGGTATTTTTTCTACTCTACAAAGTATCTTTTAGCTCTTGGAGGAACGCTAAGGTGAAACGACGAATCAATATAGACTGGTCAAATATTTTTTTAAAACTCTACTGCAATTGATTTCATATCATAGGTTTGCTGATGGAAGTGAAAACTAAGGTCGAAGATAAATTTCTAAATTTGGTGCTGAAATCATTGCATGGGGCTGTCAGCGGGATGTTATGGAATACGAAAGTGCGTTCTCATAGTTCGACTAAATTGGCTCTGTGAAATTTTTAGACTTAGTGTGTTAGGTCTGTGGTTCTGTCAGCGAACAATGCGCTTTATGTTTACCCATTGATGTCTAGTCCTTAGTAGAGGCCATCAAGATCAGTGACAATGCCTCTCTTATCAGCGACTATTGCAGCGACAATGCATTTTCTATCAGCGGCATTGCAGCAAATAGGTGCGGGAATGTCACGGCAGTGTTGCCACATGCGCTTTACTTGGCCGCGTTTTCTCACTTACCAGATGCCTTCACGCAGCAAGGGCCGCGCTTTTGAATATCGTGAGAGGGTAATTCGGTAGTGAAATAAACATTACTTTTCCCTTTTGTATATCCTTCAAAACTGGAGTCTGAAAATCCGCCAAATATTTTGTAAAATGGAATGACGTGACAAGATTAGGTGGCTGCTGACAATTTTATCTGGGTTCTCAAATGACGCCTGTAAATAAAATTGCAACGGGTGCTTCTAATGTTCTACGCCAGTACAGTTTCTCTAGTATGCACTGTTTTCTTGCTGTTGTCCTTTTAAGGTGCTGTTACTGCCGCTACTGTAACTTTTTTGGATGTATACCGACAAATCTGAAAATGAAATACGAAAGTATGACTGCATTGTAACCTCAGTTTCTTCTTTGTAGTTGTACCTGCGTGTGTCCTCGAGCTCATAGTCTGGCTTATGCTATGAAAATGAATGCATGTAGTCCTGCTGCTTGTAGTCCTGCTGCTTGTACTGGTTCTAAACCACTCGAGAAGTTGCGTGTTTTGTTTTGTGGCAAGCGCGAGGTAACATGTGAATTGATTTTTACTCCAGTTGGATGCTATTGTGCTATTCAGTGAACAAGCCATAAGTAGCTCACAGGGTTGTGTCTTTTATCTGTGTCCTTTATGCACAGCTTTAGAGTATTTGTATTGGCCGCGTGATTACACAAACTGCTTTTGTATTAACTTGTATCAATGTATTGCTATTTGTTAGTTTATTAAAAAGTGGTATCAAACGATTCTGGTACCCTTCTGTAATTTGTCACTTTTTTTTTGTTGAGATTCAGTTTGTTTCGAAAGGACGTAGGCTGGTGATCACATGTTTCACAGGAGTGGTAGGCGATCCATGAACTACGAAGCACTTTTGTGTCGTTACTAAATTGATAATTACGTTTTTTGTATTGAAAGAGGACATAGGCAGTGTTTATTAGTCAATAAAGTTTACACAAAGGCATTGGAATTCCTCTGTAAGAGTGTTAATTACAGTGAAGTAGCCAAAAAAATTAAATTACCAAATTACAAATTTATAAGGTTTTCCTTGTTTCATGTAGCTGCGGTAGCTTTGATGACTTTCAAAAGTTGTTTCTTAACAGGAAAAGGTGTGTGATCAAATTCACGAGCTAGTCGCTTCGGATCTTTTTTTTTTCTTGTATTGCAGGGCTCGAAGTACCCAGGATCATTTTTATCAAGGAGGAACCCCCATCCAGCTCTGACGAAGCGTCCACAACAGACACAGGAAGGGACGACACTGTCACAAACTGGACTTCAGGTGCCCAAGGAGAGGAGGCTGTCCAAGGACTCGGAAGATGTTCCTATCGAAGCGACGGACGTGCCACCGGATATGGAGAGCTCGGACGGAAAGCAGCGGTTTGCAGAAGTGCGGACAGTGTGGGCAATACTTCAGCAGTGCGGAAGTCCTGCTTCAGCACTCGGTCACGCACTCGTGGAACTCGCCGTTCTGGTGTCATAATTGTGGCGCCACCTTCGTGTGCCGGGAGGACCTCGGCGCAGCACTGAGAGCATGCACGTCGATAAGGATCGGTTCTGCTGCGCACTGTGCAGCAAGATATTCGTCTGCGGGAGCGTGCTTCGAGGTCACACAACAGTTCACCAAGACCATCCTGGATATCGTTGCCACCTGTGCCCCATGGTGTGAGTAGTTGGTGACGTGCCACTCAGCTTGTTTATTTGTTTTTGTTTATTCACTTATTTGCTGTGCTTACGCTGGTTCTAGAATGAACCCATTAACGCGAGTGCACAAGATACAAGCTTCATGTGCTAAAAATCTTGCATTGAGTTATGCACATAAGATTGCGACCACATGATTTGGAACACAGTGAGTGAATACGAATGAAATTATACAGTGCATGACATACAGTGGCCCAAAGCTCAAGATGTATGCAAATACATACAAACATTGCAGAAAAACAAAAGAAACAAGAAAGCAGAGAAAAGCGAGATGTGCTACAGATCATTTAGCTTTGTTAAGAAGCCAGATATGTCGTATGCCTCTGTAACTTCACGACATTTCGCGGGACCACAATGCTTAATGCTGCATCCCCTCAGAGTGTTTCTATTGAGTTAAGTTTGCAGCTGTAATCCTCATAGTTGCTACAAGAAAGGTGATCATTTTGCTAAAGGGGCAGTAAATGACATGACAAGTAATATCTGCTTTCTCTTTTATATCTTCTTCTTTAAATTAAGATTTGGACTATGTAAGCTGTAGCCACAATGCTAGAAAGCATCAGAGTGCCCTGAATCATTTACTTCAATAATTTTTTCTAACAACAGATTCCAGTCTTGAAACTTCAATATTGGAAGCTTTTCAACATGGTGCATCCTTTGACCTAATTTCATTGTTCTTTGTGTTTTTTTTCTTTTGCGAATAGTGATATAAGCAGTTTTGTGGCTCTGTAACTTCACCGGATACAGCTTTCTGTCAATCACTAGAAAAATGTGGACTACATGGGCTCTGGTGTTTGCATGACACTGAATGCTTGCCAACAGCCATAGCTGACAGTTATCATCTTATCTTGTGTTGGAACCACTAGTTAGATTTCTGTAACATTAAAGTCGTGCATTGGCATTGTTTTAGAACTGGTGCCTGATTCTCTGAAGCCATTGCTGCTTTTCTCGCCTGTGCTATTTGCTACATTTCGCAATAGCAAGTTATTATACAGCAGGTACTTGGAGGCTGGATTTTAGTGCATGAGGGTGGGCTGTTCAAAGTCAGTCAGTCATTCACATAACTTTTTCATAGTTAAAAGTCATAGTCAAGTCATAGTCAGTCACATAACTCTGTTCAAGTAACCAACGATATGTTTTGTGCCTGCATATTGTTGCATAGCCTAGCTACCATAGCTTTTGTGTTGTGCTGCCACATGCCACGGTGAGCCATGGTCGGCTCCTTTTGTTGGCTTACAACTGCACATTCTAATTGGTCTTTGTGGATGACGTACCCCCAGTCTCATAGCAATGCTAGACAGTCTAAGTAGCCCTAGCATTTCTAGAGAATGCAGTGCACAGCTGAATTGAAAGTAGTGGCCAACATGCACACGCATAAAAAGAAAATGCCCAAGGCCATGATGCACGCTGATGTAGTATTTAGGTCAAGGCCTTAACCCCTGATGTAGATACTATGTCTTGTGCTCGAATGGCAAATAAAACACAGCGAATTGATGTCCCGACGTAGTTTAGACCTACTGTAGACTTTGTTGTACTACAGACAGTAAAGCAGCAATTCACAACCGCTTCCCCTACTGTTATTACATCTGTTATAAAGGAAACGGAAAACAAAAGGAAATGACAAAAGGAAAAATAATTCTTGCTGTTTGACCATCTTTGCCTCTCCCAACGTATTGACACATATCATTTATGTGCAATCGGCTGTGGCTCCTACACTTTTCGGGTTTTGAAGAAGAAAAATTTTTGCTGTGCTGGTTCTGGGGCAGGCGTCGACTCCTGGCTGTGGGTCTTGCATCACCCGCGACATTGTTTTGTACAGAGGTCTTAATTTTTGCCTACTCTTATACCCATGGCACATTGCTAGAGGTGCTAGGTAAAAAGAACGATTGACATTAGCCACTGTTGTTGTGGAAGCCAGCTTCTCACTGCTGGAATGAAGAGCCACTGGTTGGTCACTGCAAAGCTTCATTGTATTGAGCCAATACTTTCCATGCTTTAATCATGAGCTAAAAGATGACAATTCAAGAAGCCATAGTAAAAGATGGCTGATCAACAACAACACGAATGCTTCTTTGATTATTGTCTTCATTACATCGCAGGCATGGTCAAGAATGTGCCATGCTGGTGCACTTTTTGTTTGTCGAATGGGATGTCCTTCAATTTGTGCTAATGACTTGTAGCAGAATGATTTGGTACAATGTGAGTACAGTGGGACCCCGTTCATACATTGTCCAGCGGGCTGGGTAAGAAAAATGTAACAGCCGAGAAAACGTAAGAGTGAAGAAAGCTTCGAAAATGAATGAAAGCCCCGGTGCCTTGACTACAAACAATTTATTTTGGCAAGATGAACCTATGACTTAAAATATTCAAAGATAGTTTACTGCCGCTTCTCTTCGCTCGCTGGTAAGCACCATACGTTTCTCAGTAATCTGGAAGGCCGCATTGCTTTCAGCGTCGCTTTGGTATGCGACGTACCTGCGAAGTAGTCCAGGGCCGTGACGGCTCCTCCAAAGTTGAGATCGGCTGACTCCACTGCCAACTCATCAGAATCGTGAGGCTTGTGCTCGCGTCGTCGTCATCGATGTCCTCGTCTTCAGTTGCAATTTAGTTTGCAACGATCTCTACGATTGTCTGGCAGTCCGACGTCGCGACTGCAGCATCCACACAACGTAGTCGTACGTCATACCTGTGGCACTCAGCGCATTCATTGCCTCATTGAGCTCTTGCTCTCAAGAGGCTGCTTCCGATTGTAGAGCTTCGATGGCAGGCTTCCCTGCACTGTCCACACGGAACCTACACCTTGCGAATCAGTGCTCTAAATTGACGCGCTCACTGCACTCCACACTGATGCGATGTAATGCATGGCATCGAGCACCGAAACTGTCGTAGATTGCGTTGGCAATTTCAACAGTAACAGGCTTAGCGCACACAACAGCGACTGAAGATGAGCCACAACATGCATCGGTGGGACTGTCATGCACTTCCGGCATTTCGTAGTGAAACTTCCATTGTAAGCACAGTAATGATGGTGATAGCACTTTTCACAAATGGCCATCTAGGGGTGGCCTCTCCAACTCGCCTGCAGCTTTTTGCGGCCTCTTTTATAGCCAAGCCAGGCCAAGACTGTCAAATGTCAAATCAAAATGGTGGTGCCCGGGCAACTAGGTTGCGATGCATCATGCAGGATCGTTCTCACAGTTGCGACGCAAAAGCGGGGTTGGCAATACATGGGATTCCTTGAGAGCCATGTCGGGACTGATGAAAGACAACGTAACAGCCGAGAAAACATAGCAGTGAGGAATGTAACAGCGGGGTTCCACTGTAGTAAAAAAATCTTATGAAATGTCTAAATGCACTAAAGACGTGTGGCTGCTTGCCAACTTTACCATGGGTTCAGTGTTTGCCTTGTCTCTGTGTCGATACTCCCAGGTATGCCACGCATCCGCAACTTTTGAATCACCTGGACAGCCACAATAAGCCTTATAAGTGCAAAGTGTGCAACGACCGTTTCATCAACATCAAGGCGCTGTCTGGTCACGCAAGTGCCCACGTCAAGCTTCAGGGCGTCCGCCCCCTGCGCTACAAGTGCCCGCACTGCCCCAGGACCTTCTATCACTCAGGACACCTGGCGGACCATACGAGGACCCATACAGGGGAGCGGCCCTTCAGCTGTGACGTGTGCAAGAAAAGCTTTACCCGGCACTCCACCCTGCTTGCTCATAATCGAATGCAGCATGCAATATAGCCAAAGAAGGGCAGCACTTGCGGGGCGTTGCACTTCACCGCCCTGCCATGCCCCCTTGGATGTCTGCGAGAAGGAGCTGGTGATAGTTTTGAATGTATGGGAATAAGCTGACCTTGCTGGCCAAGCACTAAGTGATGAATGAGGTGTTTAACAAATAGCCGCCTGTAGGTGTCTTATCATAAGACCACATTAACACTTGCACATAGCGAAGAATAAAAAGTCTTATCTTCTTGCTTCTACCACCTTACATGCGCTAAATTTTGCTGGATAGCTTGACAGTGTGCTTTTGTCACGAGTATTAGGATGAAACTTGAATGTCATGAGAATATGTGTGGAAGATTACAATATCTGCACTCACTCGTAATATTTCCGTACAAGAGAAGCTTTTAATCTCCACTTATACCAGTGTTTACAATAATAGAGCAAGAGCAGTTGAACTGTGACTCGGCTTGATTTCAAAGCCGAGCTGTAGGCAGTAACATTTAGAGATGGCTGGCCCTGCAGAATTTTTCATACCTTGTTCTTGAATGCAACTGTTTGCAGGTGCTTGACCAAAGGTTTGGTTGCGTACAAAGGTGTAGACCGTTAGTTGAGCAGTTACGATGAATAGGCATTTGGTTGCACCCATTCCTAGCCACGGGATCATTCGCTTGATTGCAGAAGAGGATCTTTTACGAACCTCTACTGGACAAGCATGTACAGGGAATAGGTACATTGTTACACTCTTTTGTAGCTACCCAGCCATTCAGTTTTGGGGCAACCAAGAAAACACTTAGGTCCGATCAGATATCCTTTTATCACGCCACAATGATTGCATTTACTGGCTTTTGTATGTTTACATATGTGTGTGTAATTTTAACACATATTTGTACTTAATATTCAAAGGAAAAGTTGGCATGTGAGTGTAAACATGAAAACAAGGAGAGAAGAAAAGACATTTGGAAAAAAAAAGAAAATGAGCAGCTTCTCAAAATCTATCAATATTCCCAAGTTGGTCAGACATTGTGCATTATGATTTTTTTAGTTTTCTGCCCTCAGTAATGCCAGAATTTCAGATATGCAAATATAAGTTGGTTGCGAAACAATGATCACTTGTGAAACACCCTTGTTTAGTGCATAAGTAACATGTTACCACAAAATGTCCGTTCAAGAGTTGGTATATAGTAAATGTGGTTGAAAGCTTCCTCTGTTCGAGCTGTATTCTGGCTGTTTTGTGCTACACAACTGTAGTGTGCTGTGCCCAAGAATGCAGCGTGGCAGATTCAGGGAAAATATACACACATTGTTTCTAACATTCTGAGGTTGCATGTAATCAATGTAATTTAATGCTCTCTAGGTCAAAGTGCTCTACGAACTTTCGTAAATATATATGTGCTCTAAGTGAGATCGCACCTTTGAGTGATTGCAGTTATTCAGTGTTCTGCTTTAGAAGTTCCCCGTTTCATTTCATTCAATGAATACGGCATTGTCACCGTCAGTCCTAAAGGGACGGACAACTGATTTTTGAACTGCTCATTTTTTGTGGCCCAATCAATAGCTTGTCCTGCGAGATGTTTGTACTTGAAGCAGTTGTTTTCAAAAGTATGTGCCAGTTGACTAAGCAGAAATTTTTCTAACTTGGCAGTGCAAAAAAACAAAAGAAAAAAAATTTTCTCAACTCGTGACGCACTGAAGTGAGAGTGGTATATCTTGTGACACAAATGGAACGGTGGTTTACATGGAACTAAATGCAACTTTTGTTGATTCTTCTTGCAGCCTTTTCTGCCATTGTTGCTGGGTCTGTCGTTTTGAAGACTTTTCTCATATACATGTACGTGACCTTGTTTCTCTAAGAGGCAAGTCCAAGTACAAAATTGCATGGCTGCACTTCAAATTTGCGCGTACTCATTTGCAGAGTTGGGCAAACTGTTTCTGTGTGAAAAGCGTGCTGACTTGTTAAAGTTAATTTGATTTTTTTTCGTTCAAGTGATGAACCAAAAAGAAAGACAGAAGACCATTCTGTGGCAAGAAGCTATATTCTAAACAAAAAATGGCTGTCAGAGTTATTAGACATTCCAGTGCTGTAAGTGGATACTACTCATTAAATAAAGATGAAGTTTTAATATTAAAAAAGAGAAAAATGGAGATGAAGGAAACATAACATCGAACAAGCATTGTGATAAAAAGATAAAAAATTGCCACAAACGAAATAACAGACAGCCACGAATCCACGTCTTGCTCACTCCCAGACCAGGAAGCAATCTTCTCTTTTTTCTCTACTTCCAACAGATTTCACGCTACAGTTATGGCTTATACCCATTACCTGTGACATTATTCCCTCTCCTCGAAAAGCATAGTCTCGATGCTGGTGATGAGCATTGGGAAAAAAAAAATGAGACAGAAAAGACGCTACCATGGAATCTAACAACTGCCTCGTAAGGCAAAAAAAAAAAAAAAAGGGCTGGTATCATGGAAGTACTCAATAAAGAAAAGAATTAGACACAAGACAATCAAAAAGAAACAAAAGGGACAAAAAATAGTCATTGCATGGTAAGTCAGTCCACGTTCGATTGCTGACGTGAGAAATATGGCTTGAGCTTTGACACATGCACCACATTACTTTGTGAAAACTGACGGGACCGTCTTGAAGTGCCCTCAGGGACAACTTCGTATGTAACGTCACTGAGTTGGCGTAGAACTTTGTACGGGCCGAAGTAGCGCCGCAGCAACTTTTCAGAGTGACCACGCTGTCGAATGGGGGGTCCACACCCAAACTTCATCGCCTGGTTGGAAGGTAACCTCTCGGTGTGTAAGGTTGTAGCGGCATGCATCAGCAGTTTGGCGAGCCTGAATATGGCATTGAACGAGTTGATTGGCCTCCTCGGCACGTTGAGCGAACAAGGCAGCGTCCGCATTGAATATGCCCAGGTTGTTAGGAAGGAGCATTGCGTCGAGCATTGTAGTAACACCTCGACCATGAACTGAGCAGAATGGTGTGAAACCCGTACTCTCTTGGACTGCTGTATTGTGAGCGAAAGTTACGTAAGGGAGTACATCATCCCAGTTCTTGTGATCAATGGCCAAATACATTGACAGCATATCTGCAATGGTCTTGTTCAACCGTTCAGTGAGTCCGTTTGTTTGGGGGTGATAACCAGTGGTTTTCCGAAGTTCTGTACCACTTAGGCTCGGCACTTCTTGAAACATCTCTGCAGTGAAAGCTGTCCCACGATCAGTAATTATCACAGCTGGCGCTCTGTGACAAAGTACGATGCTGGTGACGAAAAACTGGGCGATTTCGGTTGCGGTAGCTTTGGGCAGGGCCTTTGTTTCGCTGTAACGCATTAAATAATCGGTGGCAACCACAATCCACCGGTTTTAGACGAAGACGTGGGAAACGATTTGAGCAAGTCAATGCCATTTTGATGGAATGGTGTTTTCGGCGTGGCGATAGGCTTTAGTAGTTCTGCTGGTCGGACAGGTAGAGTCTTACGGCGTTGGCAGTCGCGGCATGTGCGGACGTACTGCTTGACTGTCTTCGTGAGGCGTGGCCAGTAGTATGAGCGGCGAATTCTTTCCAAGGTGCGCGTGTAGCCAAGGTGTCCGGATGATGGTTCGTCGCGACAAGCATGTAAAATATTGACGCAAGGCAGACGCAGTATTCAAACTACGCGCGCTAGTTCGTGCGCCCCCCAAGAGACCAGCGGCCCGATGATAAGACAAAAAAAGGCCGTGATGACGCGCGCCTCCTCAGCACAGGATTTTAATGAAAAAGAAGTGGTGCACCGCTCGAGGGCTTCTCGGAGATTGATTCCTTTTGCTGATCGCATGTTAGAAATGCCGCTACATTTTCATTTACTTTTCGGCCACAAGTTAGCTCCAATAAACAGTTATTCTTACACCATTTGGATTGTGCGTAGCAATTCTGGTGGTGGAGCCGGGTAATGATCCCAAACCCAGTTGGCCTTCGAGGAAGCAGCCCGAAACCACGAGCAGTTGAACCAACTGAGCTCACGCCAGTTCATCAGCGCTCCAGCCGTCGTCTACATTGTGAGCCGCCGGAATTTCCCCTGCCACCGAAGCGTAGAGTGTCTCCAGCTATCTCCGGTGAGAGTACCGAAATGTCGTCTCCAACTGCCGCCGCACACTTAGTTTCGTCTCCATTCGCTTCCACGCACGTCGTTGTCGATGGATGAGCCACGGACGCCCGACCCTTTTCATGGCGATCCTCATGAAGACGCCGAGGATTGGCTGGAGGGTTTTGAGCGCGACGCCAACTGCAACGGGTGGACCGAAGAACGGAAGCTCCGCCACATTTACTTCGCGTTGCAGGACAGCGCACGAACGTGGTTCGAAAACCATGAAGGTGCCATTCGGTCGTGGGATGATTTCCGACGGGAGCTACTGGCCACATACTCGAGTACAGACCGCAAAGAAAGAGCTGAAGCTGCCTTGCAAGCAAGAAACCAGCGCAACAATGAAAGTGTCGCAATGTATGTGGAAAACATGTTATTTCGCCGGTTATTTCGCCGGTCTGATCAAAATATGAGGGAGGACAAGAAACTTCGGCACCTGATATGTGGGGTGAAGCAGGAGATTTTTGCTGGTTTGCTCCGATGCCCCCTCCCCCCGGAACATCGCTGAATTTCGCACCGAGGCGACAGCGGTTGAAAAGACTCTGCAACAGCAAGTGAGGCACTACAATCGAAATGTTAACGTCGCATTTTAGACGCGGTGTCGGCAGTGTTCGGGAATAGCATTGACGTATTACGAGAGCTCATTCGATCGGTGGTTCGAGAAGAGCTCCAGAAGCTAAACAGCAACCCCTCAGCGATCTCGTCATTAGCGGAAGTTGTTCTGGAGGAAGTGAGACAGGCAGTCCGTGAGCAGCAGCCACAAGCACAGCCTGTTCAAGTGTCGGTTCCGATGCAGCCCGCAGTCTCGTACGCCGAGGTGCTGAGAGGCGCCCCTGTACCTCCTTTCGTCGCTCCTGGACCTCCTTTCGCCGCCCCAGGGTCTTATTTTGCCGCAGCAAACACGCATCTGCCGAAACCCCCATTCACGCCATCCCCAGCTGAGACGAGGATCCGAAAAGCTGATATATGGCGCACTCCTGATCGAATCCTGCTTTGTTATCACTGCGGCGAAGCTGGCCATTTTTATCGGATGTGTGAAT